GTGGAGTTGCCAGGTGTTGTGGATGATGCGGGCAAGTTCGTTGTGGTCATGGGGTTGGTTGTGGGTGATGCGAACGCCCTGGGCAAAAAATCCAGGGTAGTTGGCAAAGTGGAGTGTGCTGGGTAAAAAACGGCCTTGGCGTAGAATGTTGGAAATGTTGCCGACGGGGCCTGTGTGGCCTGCGTTGATGTGGGCGACTTCCCGGTGGGTTGATGTGGCGCGGGAAACCGCAGGTGGCTCTGGTGTAGTGGCTTTGGTGTTGAGGAAGGGGAGTGAAATGGCATAGTACTGGAATTGGTCGTATTGGTGAGTTGTGTCGTTCCACTTAGCGTGGGTATATTGTCGGAAATCGGTGATCTCCTTGTAGGTGATGTTGCAGTCTGTGAGGATATTGGCAATGTACTGGTGTTGTGGTCGGTTGGGATTGTCGAGTTGGGTGGCGTGGAATTCGAGCCATTCCAGGATTTGGTCTGCAGGTGTAAAGGTGTAAAAGTTGGGCGGAGGTCGCCAACGGTTGATTGGGCGACGGAGGACGGCTGTGGTGGGATATTGAGAGGGGTCCGGGTTGGTGTGTTCGGTGTTGGGGCGTAGATCAATGGGTTGTGGTGGCGAACGACTGCGGGATGGCGTAAGGCTGGATGTGTAGGTGGATGTTGAAGGCGACCGCCGTCGCCGGGTTGTGCTGTGATGTTTGGAGTGGCGGTGATGGCGATGTCGGCGGCGGTGGCGGTGGCGTCCTCTGTGGTGATGGTCGGACTTGCGTCGGCTCTTGTGGTGGTGGCGGCGACTGCTGTGTGGTGGTTGCGGGGAAGGTGGTTGCGGTGCTGGTGAGGCAGTGGTGTCAGGTTGGTCTGGTGCTGGTAGTGAAGGTCCAGGCGCTGGTGTGGCAGATACCAGCGATGGGGATGCTGAATGTTTGGATACGGTAGCTGGTGGAGGCGTGTTTTGGACTGGTAATGGATTGTCCTGGGTAGTCGTGGGGATGGGTTGGATCGGTGGTGTTGGATCCGATGGTGGCTGCTGTTGAGGTGGAGGTTGGGTTGATGTTGAGGCGTTGATGGTTTGTGGGGGCGGTGGCGGGGGCAACGGTTGGAGTGGAGGCTGTGTGACGGGGGGAAAAGCTGAATAGGGTTGCCAAACGCCCTGGGGGATGGCGCATTGGGGGTCTGTGGATGGATAATTGGCAATCGCAGGCTGTTGCTGTGTTGGAGGGGGATGTGTCGGTGTAGTGGGGGGGGGAAGTTCAGCGGGTGGTGTGGGATGATGTGATGGCAACAAGTAGGACGGGGGAGGTGCTGCTGTCGGAAACACTGGAGTTGGATGTGTGGGTTGCGGTGGCACGTGACATGGTTGGACAAAAGTCCAAGTGGATGGTGTGCCGTAGGTCAGTGCAGTGGCGGTAGGGTTGGACAAAAACGGTGGTGGTTGAAATGGTTGTGGTTGTGGGTGAGGGTATGCCGATGGTTGTGTCGAGGGAAAGATGGGTGCAGTTGATGGTTGTGGCATCGGCCATGTGGGTTGAGGTTGTGTGGTAGGTAATGGTGGTGGCGTAGTGTGAGCGTAGGGCCACGGAAAATGCATGTCGTGGTCGTAGCTATGGCGCGGCGCGGCGCGGCAGCAAAAAGCAGCGGAGAAGTGCCGAGTTGTATTGTCTTGTTGTTGTTGAAGGTGTCATCTCTGGTGTCAGTGGTGAGTATGTTGTAAGGTGGTGCTAAATGTGAGCTTGTTGGTAGGTGTGTGTTCATGCATCTCGAATTAAGCTGAAGAGCTCCATCCTTGAGTTCTGTCGATGAAAGAATCGCGGCAGCAACATAGCGAACATAGAAACATGCACATGATTGGAAGACCTGAAAAGAAAACTGAATGCTGAAATCTGAGATCTGAAGTTTGGAATCTGAAGAATTCTTCAAGAACCGTTTTTTGGCCCGGCGGCCGGTGTGGCGGTTGATTCTGTGAGGGTGTCGGTGCCTTCCTGTGATAATCCAGTGAGCGGTGGTGCGTTGGGGTGGTTGCTTTCCCATGCAAGAACGGCGCCCCTGTGACGGGGATCACACTCAGCACCCGAGTGGGACGGCTGAGCAGGACACACTTCGAACTTGGGTTTTCAGTTAACGCAAGTGTCTCGGTGAGAAAGAAGGCGATAGAACAGCATGGCGGAAAGTCGGAGACAATTGTAGGTGTTTGAACAAAAGCTGTTTCCCTTGACTGCAGTGACGAAGCGGCGCAACTCAGCTGCAAAAGTGGCTGTGGGAAACCTGTTTGTGGGGAAAGGATCATGTGGAACCACCATGAATCAAACCAAAAAGATTGGACAGCGTGTTCAAAAGTTGAAGCAGGTACACATCAGGACGTCTCCCGATGCATCACCAGAGAATGTGGACGTCTTCGTTGGCAGTGATTCCACAAACTCTGTCACTGCCCCCTGCCTGTGGAGAATGGGAAGAGTGGTGGTGTAAGACCCTTTGTCCAGGGTGGGACACACACACACACATGGCTGCCGCTGCTGTGTCTGTCATGCAAAAAACCTTCTGCAACCGCATGTTTCTCCTCGTTAAAAAGGTGGCGAAACATACCACCCAAAATATTGAAAACAAAAACAAAAATACCAAATTTAATCCAGCATTCTATAAAACATACCACGAAAACACATTAAAACAAAGGAACAACACGTTTGGTTTCCACATGGACCGCGAAGCACCGGATGGAACGGACCGTGGCCCCGTTCGCCTGTGTTGTCCCGAATCACGTCTCCCACCTGACGTGACCGGCCCAGTAGAGAAGCTGGGACAGCTGGGGCAGCTGAGCGAAGCAGCGAAGCAGCAGGATGTGTTGATATGTCCATCTCGGGAGATGGATTCCATGGTCTTAGACTTCCTAGACTTCTATATGTACACGTACAATGAGCTCCAACAAAAACGTATGCACGCAACGACTGAGCACAACGACTGGATCAAGTCTTATGCGTTCGACGTCTGTGGCTCGATTGATGCTCTTTCGCCTTTGAGACGTCCATGTCGACATGGTGGTCGACTGGGATGAGTCACAGAGGAGGTCATATATTCCAAGAACTACTGTGTGAACTAGCAGAAGTGTTTGGAGTCACTTGGGTGGTAGAGATGTTGGCAGGGAGACACCCAACCAAAAGGGTAGACTGGTTTGTTGACCTTCCAGGGGGGCTTTTGGGAGGTCTCGCTACTACACACCCACTTGGTGAGCCGTCCATCACCACCCAAGCCCCCAAGCACGTGCACTTCTTGAAATCATCTATGGGCCCGGAAGACTGGGATCACCATGAAATCAGAAGACGTGCACTTCTAGCTACTACTCGTTTCACTAGTTTCTTGCTCCTAGTAAGGCCAGGAGCTACTATTAGCGTCCGAACGCTCCGTAGCGATGCCCAGGTATCCTACTATAGTAGCTTCTTGCTGCCAACAGGCGGTGGGTTTTCCACCTCACCATGACTGTTCAGGGAGGTATCACAGCTCAAGCTCCCGTACCCTAACCGTGTCACCATTCATGCCGGTCGTATCAACATGTGGGTCACCACTCAAGTACCCGGAGGTCTCGCCCGAAAGACCGGCGGTGCGGGGCTGAGGCACCGTTTTCGTGCGGGTCCAAAATACCAATCCTTAGCTACTACTAGCTTCTTGCTACTAGTAGCGATGGCCTCCAACCCAATACCGATGGCCTCCAACCTAGTAGCTTCTTGCTAGTGAGAACGCCCTTGTTACTAATATACTTCAGCGAACACATCACATGGAAGTGGATGGCACCCTCTGTTCGTAAAGGAAAGTAGTCTTCTAAGGGACCATGCCATTCATTTTCAGTAGGCTTTCTGTATAACCTACCAGTCTCTTGCTCTTGCTCTCTGTGTATATTACAATTACACATGCATGTGCAACATTGTGCGTGTGCAACACAACTGTCTACATGAAGCTTGAAATGGAAAGAAAACCGTTTGTTGGTGAGTAAAAACCTATTTTGGAAGACACATGGGCACTGTTTTTGTTGTTTTTTGTTGTTTTCTTCTTTTGTTTTCGATGCTTTACCCATGTGTGTACACGAATCTCGGCACCTGAGGCTGGTGAGAATGCATGTTCTGATCATGCCAGCCGGCCAGCCATGGCCAGCCACATGGCAAGCAGTCCGACCAGTCGGGGAAAGCTTGTCAACCAGAATGCATGGTGTAGTGCGCGTAGGGGGGAATCAAGTGACTAAGTGGGTGCTTGGTGGCATTGGGTGATGTATTGGATGTTCCGGTGTCTGAAACGTGTCTCCAAATATATTCCAGTATATAATGTGTCAAACCGAAACAGGTTGGCTCGGTAAAATTGAGAAATACAAAATGGAGTCCGAGCGCGAACCAAAACAACTGGATATGGCCCTAAGCAAACTTGCCTCATGACTCATGACAGGGCACTGTTTACATTTGACACCTCAGTTTGGATTCAGACACCTCGAAGCCTCGAATCCTCGACACCTCCACTGTGCTGAAGCGCTCCTGGAAGTGCTTCGTGAAAAGAATGAAGTCCTGCGAATCTGTGCGTCAGACCGTGCTGTGCGGACCAGTCGCTGCGTTTCACATGACCAGTCGGAGAGCACGGGCGGCGAGAGAAAGGGCACGATGCATATTATGCCTGTGAATCTCTGCTTGGGTTATCTTTGTATCAAAATGGAGTCCACCCTCCCCTTAAAATGCTGTATAGGTGGTGCCATCCACTTCCATAGTGAGTCAAGGGTAAACCTGAACACGCTAAGAAAACTAACAGTCCCCCTTGTCAATTTGTGAAGACCGCTACGAACCTGTGGCTAATGATGGACAAATTCAATCTTGGAAGCCCGCCAGTCACGCCATAAGCCAAGAAAACATGTAGACTATCCCTATAGGGCTCCAAGTACCTCCGCAGGAAGGTATTTGGGCCCTCCTGGCACCCACCCGAAACACCTTCTCAGAAGGTACTTTGAGCCCTTAGGTAATTATATAAACAGAATGAAAGGGTCTACCTACCGAACCTGAGGATATGGGACAGGAGCCCTAGGGTAAGCAAAAGGTCATCTTGAGTACTTCCTGGCGAAGACCCAGGTGAAAACCTCCCTTTCTGCGCGTGAAAACAAGTGAAATCCCCGCGCTCACGGGGTGTTTCTGGGCTCGAAGAGGAGCGTCGGTTCGCATTTCCCCCGGGCTCCTTGGGGTTGCGATCGCCCTTCTCTTCAAGCTCAGTGCTCTTGGAGGCCTTGTTGAGCTGCGGCTGCCTTGGGGGCAAAGATCCGAGGGTCCCGTCCGCCTGCCTTTTGGCATCGAGAGTTACTTGAGTTGTCACGGACCATCCTGGTGACCATTCGTAAAAAAGAGCAAGTCCTTGGTGGGCGTAGGCTTTCAAACTTACTATTCTGCATTCTATAATTTCTAGATACTTGAGAATTCTAGAGGAGCCTGAACACAAACACACACAGACAAACAGACTACACCAAAATACCACGAGTTACCATCCGTTGCCATGGCTAGCATAACAGTTTGACATCAGTTTGACTACTGCGCTTGCATTGTCAAGTTAAGGTATGTGTTTAATATTTGTTTTTTGCATGACACCGCAGCAAATCACTACATCATTACAAACATGCAACCTTAAATAAAGGGATGTTTTTGTATACACACAATCCAATATTAATTATTGCGTTACGTTCGAACGTGTCAAATTTGTTCGTATTTAGCTGGTTTTAGATGCATTTAGAATGGTTTGCTGCCTGCAATCAACCGCAAGCTGTTCAAACGGGATCCACGCTCATTCCGGAAGGTCGACTGTCCGACTGTCGGACTGTCGGTGAACGTGTCCACGAGAGGCCAACGTGGCTTAGCATGGCATCGAGAAGGGTCTGTGATGATCTGTGGCTTAGCCACAGACCTCACTAGTCCATACCCTTCTTCCTTCAATCTCATCAAGGACCCACCTTCATGAGCTAGGCATGTTGAACCCATTTTTTGAGTGGGGCATCTAAGACCTGTCCAGCTCACTGCTGCTTCCGAACTGCTCGCAAGCTGTGCAGCTAGATCCGCAGCAACATGTAAAAGGAAATGAACCATGTTGGACGCGTCCAAAGAAGGATCGAAACCTTTTTTGTCGAGCAGCGTTACCCCTTACTTATTAAGACATTCACATTGGACATAGATTACTAATATGATTGAATAGATGTCATTCATGCCAGTACATTAAATTACATAATTACATTAAATATATATATTACACAATATAGATCTATATATATATATTGCACTATATTATAGTATATATTGCATGACATTGCAAACATAACAAAAAATAAAACAAACAAACAAACAAACAAGCAAACAAACAGGCAAGCTCGCAAAGAAGCAGCAAAGCATTAACATAGAAGTAAAACACATAAATAAACACACACACAAACCGTAAACAATTCATAAAACAACATAACATTAAACAGGGCAAACCATAACAGAACATACAAAAACGAAAAAGGGTCACATGTATTTCAATGCTTGCGACATGATTACGTTCAAGCAGTTAGGAACTTGGCTTGGACTGTTCCAAGAAGATTCACAACATTTCACAACTCTTCTAGGTTGGAGGCCATTGCTATTGGGTTGGAGGCCATTGTTATTAAGTTGGAGGTGATCGCTTCTAGGCTTCCAGGTTGCAGGGCATTAATAGGGTGTTCTTTTTTCTGAGGGCCGCACAGGTAGGTCCTGGCATTGAAGGTCGTGTAGAGCTTCGGGCTCACATCACCCCAGCAGGCCTCATAGCATAGGTCCATGAACACAACAAAGACTCAAAAGCTGGTGTCTCAGTGGATATCTTGCGGTAGTCGGAACACAGTCTTGGTTCCTTCTTGTACCAAAATAAAAAAAATACAAGGAAAACAGCACGTCTGGAAATGGCGGGAACCTCCACATCCTCCACCAAACATCTACAGTAGACACATCCCCATTGAAGTTGAAATTTCACACCCTTACTGACCGATATACCTTTTTGGGGGGAGCATGTAGAGAGGGCGAAGAAGTGACGATGTTTGATTGTTCGATTGAAAATGTGACGTAAAAAGGGCATCTGGACAAAAGTATCGTAGCATATATATATATAATGGAGTAGAACATGATATTTCAGTGAGATTTGGCAAATAAGCTATTTGTTCAACATAAGTTGACATTTCTTCTTACATGGGGACCTCATGGGGATTATATTGAGCCCGAAAGATCCCGAAAGCACCCCAATTCGCCACTTCTATTCGTCGTGTCGTGTAGAAATTCTTGGGAACAGGACTCCCATCGTGCCCTTGGGCCTTGGAGTCCCGCCACCATCGTCCACACCACGAACTCCAAGCGACTTTCAACCCGAGGCTTCGGTAGCTTTCTTCGAAGTCCAAGACGTGCGCCTCGGCCGTGACGGACGGCGAGGTCGCGACCGGGAGCTGCGGCGCTTGGCCGAGCCGCGCCGCGAGTTCGCCGGTGAAGAAATGGGCAAACACTCTCTGGGAATGCGCTGATCGTGAAACGTACAGGTGTATGTATATATATATATATAATATATCCCAAAGAAGGCTCATTGGACCCTCATAGGTAGGGTTTTGACCCTCACAACCAGGGTTTTGGACTTCAAACATGTAGCATTTTGAGGGTCCATGAGCCTCTGGGATATGCATATGTTTTAAAAGGTCATGTTCATCACAATTTCGGTGCTGAACATCGGGTGCAGTACTTGCTTATGAAGTGTTATAGAGGTGCTTTGTGATCTGACGCAGTTCGGTGGGCAATGTGAAGTGTTGCTCGGTGAAGGGCAACCCGGTGGAGCCTCGTGTGTTGAAGTGTGAAGCTGCTGACACTGACACTGCTGACATCTGCTGACACTTGAAGTAAAAAAAGCAACCTGACGCATTGCATACTACGAACGGAACAAGGACGCTATGAACGGGGCTCCTGGCCGTACTACGAACGGAGCGGATCGGACGCTACTATTGCGATCCTAAGAACGTCATATGCCCCCATGACGTCCAGTATCCAGTGGATGATGACGTTCCGTTGGTCTCAGGCCTTTCCCATACCCTAACACGGAGTCACTATGGTATATATACATTGACCCCTGAAATAACCCTCCTCTTCACTGTCTACTTTCTCAAATTGAGCGCCCATGTGCAGCAGGGGATTCACCATGTTCGGGAAACTACAAAATCACCTAGAATGCTACTAGCAGCAAGGGCATTACAACTAGTAGCTCTTCTAGTAGCTCCTGGCATCGCTACTAGGAACAAGAATGCTAGTAGTGCCCTTGTGACTCAAAACCCATTGTTTTTCACGAGGTCAAACCTCACCTTCGTCTGCGAACTCATCCGACTCGCCACCCCGGCGGACGAGCACGAGCACGACTCAGGCCCTCCCCTATTGATCAGCCTATCCGATGAGGTCTTCGACACTGCCTGCCATACCTGCCGATCGATCAGCCTATCCGGTCTGTGGGGTCCGAACCTGAAGTCTTTCCGGTACCTTCCTGGATCCCCCCAGAGTACCCCCACCCTGGAAGACGACCCGACCCTGAAAACCCCTGGTTGGTAGAGGAAAATAGTCTTCCATGGGACCAGGACGTCAGGGTCTATGTCGGGAGTGTATTCCTTGACCCAGAAACACTTCCACTCTTGAGTGGATGACTATGGCCAAAAACGGCTGTCCCTTTGAGCAATTCAAGACCAATCTTCACCGCCCGGGACCCACCTTGCCATCAACTCGCTTCTCGTGGGTGTTCGCGTCCAATCCGAAGATCAACCGCGAGACTGGCAAGTGTTGCCATACCTCTCCCAGACCATCCATATGCAGTGGCAAATTTACGGGGTGGTTTCACTGCCTAAGATGGGCTGTGACACAACCTCAGATCGTGTCGCGCACCCCAGTGGGGTGGCTCAAGTCGCGGTCCGGAGTGTTTGGGTGTGGAAGAGGCTAGGCAGCTACGGCCTCCGTCACAGGAAGCGCCTGTAGAAGTGTGAAAGACATGAAATGCTGCCGGCAGGGCTTAATTGACGAATTGAAGGAGTCTGAGGTCCGCCGGTGGAATCGCTCAGCGAGGTGAGATTGGGATCCAAACATGAACAAAGCTGGTGATGCTGTCGCCATGATGAGGACCTTATTTCTACGCATATATACTTCCAAGAACTGTTATCTCTGATCCACTATCTTCACACCATTTTGGCAGTTGACTCCTGGCTCATCGATCCGAATTTTGTCAACAATTAAGCGGTTTTCTTCGGTTTTCATAGATTGAGTATAAGTTGAGTAGTTGAGTGAAGTTTCTGGCTCTACTGCACATGTTTGTGGAGTAGGAATGCGAAAATTGCTTCCAAGACGCGATTATGTCGAACATGGTCGACAGTCGGCATGGTTGACTCAACATGCACAAAAACCTGTGAAACACCTGTCCAGTCACTATAGTTATATACTAGGAGGCCAAACAAACAAGCTTGGTTTCAATCAGAGGAACCATATGCATTATTCCCTGGAGAACACCTCCGATCTCGCCGAAACACCAACCTTGGACAGCATGGGGATGGTCAGCAAGCCGTTGGTATCCTCAGTCGCGGCACCGGACCAGACCTGACTTTGTATTTTCTGGAACGAGTCTTGTTTGCAAGGTCAACATGAGAGCCTACACACTGCAGGCTTTGCGGTCTACAAATGGTTGTTTTGGATTTACTTCCTGTACGTACATATGTCCCCAAAAAGGGACATCACCCAAAAAAACCGGGGTCATGAAAAAATGGTGAACTAGTGTGATGGCACAATGGGGATGTAAAGGCAGTCGTGTTGGGTTCCGAGCCAAGCCGTCCGCTCCGAGCCCTCCCCAGTACACTCCGTTAGGAACTCAACATGGGCCAACGAGGATGGCATGGCCACGTTGGGAAGACATAGGAAGACCCGTTTCCTCTATAAACATTGGGTTCTCATGGGTTCTCCACTTCCATGTTAGTTCCAGGGAGAGTATGCTGCACAAGTTCGCAAGTCTATTGAACTGTCTATTGATGATGATAGGCGACCGAACAGAAACCCCCTCTGTGCAGGTTGCGTGATCCTAGTCACTGAGGAGGCTCATTCCGAATACATGCGCAGGTTGACCGGACAGCGCAAAAACCTCATGATGAAGCCCAGACACTCCATGGGACTGCCATATATGCCTACATTGACCCCCCAAAACCACCCCAACTGATCGGCATATATGTCATACATGGAGTGTCTGGGAAAAGACAATCCCGTATTAGTAGCCTGCTGGCCTCGTGGCTGTAGATACTCATGGCTCCGAACGAGCTTTTGAGGGGGCGCAAGCGTCGTCCGTGTCTCAAACGACGTGCAGTGACCACAGCAGATGGAGGGCTTCAGGCATCATGAAAAATGATACTTCATGATACTTCACAGCTAATGTCTGCACTAAAACACTTCAAGTTGCCCATTCTTATTCACCCGACCAGGAACTGTGAAAACATGTGAAAACATATATACCTGGACCTTCAAGGGGTGCCCAATGGAGATCCCTAGGTAGTGTAGGGGCTTCCATTGGTGACCCCTGAGAGATCCCAAAGTGGTGTAGAGGCTTCCATTGGTGACCCCTTTGAAGTAGGGGCTTCCATTGGTGACCCCTTTGAAGGTACTGGTATATTGGGTCTATCCTAATACCTGTGCCCAATGCATGATGATGGTGCAGTTACAGGCCTTTCTTCAAAAAATCGTGATTTGCTTGTTTACTGACTGTTACAGGTAAGTTCGGAGAAACCCAACTGCAGATATATATATATATATATTAAAGTATCTTCCCCACGCTAGGATATTCAACACGTGTGCCGCTCCACTTCAACTGCACTGGCCCCTTCCAGTTGACAGGTGTCAGGTGTCTTGTCAATGCATTGATTTCAAGTTGACAGGTCAAACACGGATCAAACATTCTTCCTACGTACCAAGTCAACACCAGTCCGATCTGTTTCGCAGGTCCAAATGCGTAACTCACCAAGTCTCCCCATGGAATGATGCAAGTGCAATCTCAGGTCCACCAAGCACCTGCCGTTCGCGCACCGCGGAACAGTCCGCGGAACCGACGACGATGCGACTGACTGGCTCGGTGGCGGTGTGCGAAGAGAAGAGATCGGGACCTGTGCAAACCAAGAGAGGTAGCCAGTGACCTGAACTAGGACCCGTCACCTGGGGTACCGATGGGATAGTCTATAGGGTCCTTCAACCTCTGTTGGAAGTTGTGGGTCCGAGTCCAAGGATTCTCAGGAATCTACGCAAATGTCGTATCCTCTTGCGTATATGGATGTATATGGACAATTATGTATCCTCTTGCGTTTGTACAAAATGGAAGAAGGTCGTCTTTTTTGGGGCGGCACACGCATGCATATATATATATATATAATTATATATTATATAATATAACGGAGTAAACACCATTACAACATTGGCATGTTCAGGATCACAATCCATCATCTCTGGACCTTGGGCAGTAAGGGGCCACAAACAACACTCACATCTGTCACAGGGGCTGCACTTCCTTCCATACCATCTCCATCTCCATCGTCCCTATCCGCGAGTCCTTTGGCGAATCCCTGCGATCGGACGACTTGCAGGGATTGGAATCCTGCAGTATCTGGAGATGATAGGAGGGTCAATGGATCTGTTGGAACATGACACCATGGTGTTGACCCCCCAAATCAGGGGTGTCCTGATGATTTGAGCATTTCTCAGCGGGGGGAAGCAATTCTCTCATTCCCTTCTAAGCTCCAGTCAGTTCAGTACAAATGAGGATGGTCTGACGTTCCCAGCAGGTGCACTGGTAACCTCCGCTCGAAGAAAAAGATCCAACAAAGTCACTTTGGGCAAGTGCTCTCCAAGACACGGTCAACTATTAGAAGGCCCAATGGTCCTAAAATGCCAACATAGATAAAAATGCAACACATATTATAGTAATTATAACAATTTATAACATAACATAACATAATACAAAAGCCAGCCCAAGAACTCCATTTCTTCTTATCCTTGCTTGGAAAACATGTGGGCATTTCAAAGCGGCTACAACATCAAAACGGGTTGCTTCAACCGGAAGGCCCCGCGCTGGCTGAATGCGTCGTTCACGCGTGCTTTGTTGCAGGAAGGTCATTGAGCTGAAGGTAGCTGTTTTCCCAGGAAGATTCCAAACTCCTGGGGTCTAACCACCGAAACCTTGGGTTTTTGTCGGGGTCGAATAGGGTGGAGTGGGGTGAAATGCAGGGTTGGTCGAATACCGCGAATCGGTGACCACTTCGGATTCTGGGACCCCAAAAAGGGATAAAGGTCTCAGGAGTTGAACATTGCCTCGTTGGGTGGTTGACTGGGCTCGTCACATGCAGAGTGGATGTGAAAGGGGCACCCCAACTTCCTCCGTTCGGAACCGGCACCGCTGTTCGATGGAACTACTGGTTCACCCTAATTGTTCCACCTATGTTCTATCTGCCAAGCCAATTGTCAAAAAGTAGCTATGTCGTAGTAAAGCAACACTCTGGAGGGATTTGTTCCTCCTGTTCATGTTGAGTGGGGTGTCCCCAATCCCAGCCAAAAGGAAAGGTTCAAGGATGTTAATGCCTTTTAACCTTTCCCGATTGGAAGCCATCGCTCTTAGGTTGGAGGCCATCGCTGTGGAGGCCATCCCTAGTGGGTTGGAGGCCATCGCCGCTGCATCTCCCGAGTCTTCCCCTTTGCCTCGGCCCTTTTCTTCGGCAGCGGTGCATGGATTGAAACAGAGAGAAGCGAAGCTGCGTCTCCATTGGAGAAAGCTTCGCTTCGAGCGGGGCATCCCACTTGGATCACCCCAAAAAAGGGCCCGCGAAACCTCCAACACGTCGACATGAGATACACAGGTCGACAAGACCTGACCCACCGGACGGTCGGTCATTTCTCCCTGCTCACCGGTTTCGACCACGTGTTTTTGTGCCGCCATGTCTTTGATTGAAGTGTTTTTGTACCATCAACTCGAATTGGTGTACATTCTAACCCTCCAATACCCCAACTGTGTGTGTGTGTACCATCAACTCGAAGAACTTGCTCCGTTCCGTAGCTCAGAGTGTCAAGTAGCTCAGACACTGCGTGTCGCGTGTCGCGACAGACAGTCCGGGCGTCTGTGCGTGCACGAAGGGCCGTCAGACGAAACGAGATGAGGATGAAACATCTTAACCCGAGCCCCTAGCTCCTTGTAGCCCCAGGGATCCAAGTACCTTCTCAGAAGATGATTGGAGACTATTTATGTAGGCTTGGAGGGCCCAAGTACCTTCTGAGAAGGTAGTAAAGCCAGGAGCCCCGAACGTAGCGTCCGATCGCTCCTGGTACCGGTTTGTGGGCTCGCCATACGGTTTGTATACGTCGCAGCAGGATGTTTTTGCCGACCAGTTGACTGGCAAATAGTGGTCGGTCATTCGCGGCAAATGGTGGACTGGGAGGTTAAGCTCCAGGTTGTGAGGCATACTCATTGATGTGTCTAAACACTTCCAGAAGCTGAGCACCTGCTAATCTCTGAAGGGGTCTTATCAGTCCGCAAAGGTCAAGTACGCAAGAACATGGGAGCATTTGTGCAAACATCACATGTGAAACATGTACAAGTCTCATGTGCAAGCAGGATCTACACCTGAACTGCAGTTGCATCCTTCAGGAATCATTGGCGCCCCAATTCCCCCAAACACAAAAGCCTCGACTTCAGGATTGGGGCTGGATTGCATGTTGATCATGTCCAAGTGCACCTACAAACCGAAACTGGAAGCTCGTCTCCAAACAAATGCCCCAATAGGTTTGGTTTTGACCGTCCA